AAAAAAAAAAAAAAAAAAATGGGAAAGAGAAAATCATTCCCTGATAGAGATTTCTCCCCCTTAATCCTTTTCAGATTCAGAGGATCTTCAAAGGAGCAGGTGCAGGAGCGCAGGGTCCCCGAGCCCCATCCTCCCCCCTGGGCTGGGGTGACAGGGGCCAGCCCGAGGCTCGTGAAGGGCAGCACCTGACTCTGCGGCACGTTCCTGCTGCTGGCTCCCAGGAGAACAAGCAGCACTTCCCCGTCATGGGAACAGGTCAGCATCTCCGAGGAGTATTTTCCGCCTCTACTCTGCACGCCCCAGCCCCCCACCCCTGCGCCGGCTCCCACCTCTCATATCGGAGGAAGACGTTGTTGAGGTCATCGTTGACGTGCAGCAGCTCCTCGGTGACCTCCTCGTTGCACACGCGGGAGATGAGTTCCACGACGCGCTGCTGCATGGCGCGGCAGGTCCTGTGCAGCTCCTGGGGACACAGGTCTGGCTACCGCGGGTGCCCCTTGTTCACACTCTACTTGCTTTGCAAATACGTGTGCCAGTTCGTAAAGCCACACGGGCCCAGGCTTGTCCACAAAGCCGGGCGTGTGCGGGAGGCCAGCTGGACCCCCGCCCTGCCCGCCAGGCGGCGCCTCTTGATGGACAAGCGTCCTAGCGCACACTCTGCTGTGTGCAGAGTACGGGTTTGCACAAACCGTCTGGAAAATCTAAAAACGTGATTCTCTGCAGTTGCTTGTTCTCTTCAACAGACCGTGCCAGACGCCACCCTATCACTTGGGACAGGATGCCCCAGCCTCTGTGTATCATCATGCATCTCACCCGCCAAGACTCCCTGTGCACTATGAACACGCCCTGAGCCCGCACCGCCGCCCCAGACTCCCTAGAGCGCTCTGGGCTCCCCTTCACCTCCAGTAGGTGAGGACTGGCTCCCAACCACCCCAGAGGGCGAAGCACCCCCAGAGGAGGCTTCACGGAGGCGCCGCCAGCCCGAGGAGAACCAGCCCCTCGGCAGGCTGCAGGGAGCGTCTCAAGCACCTGGCACACACGCCCGAAGCGCCAGTAGCACCCGCAGGGAGAGGCCAGGGCTGGGTTCAATCTCCCCCCAGAGCCCAGTCCCTGCTGGGTGTGGCGGCCAAGGCAGTAGCAAGCAGCCCTGACCATCAGCTGTCTGGGGGTCCGGCGCCCTGGGCTCGGCTCTCCTAGGGTGGGATGGGGGCGCTGGGAAGAGGTGAAGCTCTGCCGATGGCGCTGGGCACCACCACGGCAGCCAGGGTGGCTATGCTCTCATCTGTTCGGACACTGATAGGTCCCTGTAGAGTTTCACTCATGGAGGAGGCGTTCCATCACTTTGCAGAACGTTTGGGAAGCGCTAGGTGGTTTCTGGGGCCTCGCCTGGAGGAAGGATGAGACCCGAGGCCGTGCACTGGGGTCTGGCTCCCGTAGCCTTCAGCTGGGGCAGAGGGGGGCAGGACACCCCCCACCCACTGGCAGGGCCTCGCGTGCTCTACGCCTGGGTTGGCACCCAGGGACCCCCCCCCCCCCCGGAGCTTTGCCTAAACACGGCCCGGATCAGGGGTCTCCAGGGGTCTCTGCAGAGAGAAAGTCTCACCTTCTCCTTGCTTCAACCTTTTAAGTTACTGTCTTAAAAAAATTAAACAGGAAGAGACAAGAAGAGATTGCACGGGAGAGGAGGACCAGAGCGTGAAGATCTGTGCCACCACAGACACCTGCTGGCTGCCTACGGGCCCTCCACGCCGTCACCAGCAGGCAGACCCTACCTGCCTCCAAACCACCCGGACAGGCACCTTCTGGTCCTGAGCCACAGCCAGCCAGAGCCTGCCCGGCTTGCCCTTCCGCCTGGCAACAGCTGGGACAGGAACTTCCTAGACGCGGACGGTCTCAGTCTGGCCTCTGGGGTCTGGTTCTCGACGGAGGGGAGGGCAGCTGGTCACTGCTCTTGGTGCAAAGGCCCTCCATCCACCAGAAGACTTTGTAAAATGTCCCTTTTCTGTCTAATTCATCCCAATGCCTGTATCTTTTCTTCAAGGGACATTCTCCCCCCCACCTTGCAAAACAACCTTTCCATCATCTCCCGGGTCTCCTCTGAACCTGCAGGGAATAAGGCTCTGAACATCTGCTTTCTACAGCTGCAAAGGAGACAGGAGGGAGGCACAGTCTTTGTTGAAGAGAAAGGGGGGAATAATGAAGCTGAAAACATAGAATAAACTAGATTTCTCTAAAGAAAATGGTCCTGGCCCCCCTGGTCCTGGTTTTTGTTGAAATGAGAGGCAGGAAGCCAGAGGGGCTAAACCATCTGCTGCTTGAAGACACAATGTCGATGGGCCTCCTTCGTCAGCTGAGGGATGGCCGTGGGGGATGCCCATCCTGGGTGTCACTGGATTAATCACGCGTCATCACTAACTGCAGACGGAGCTGGAGAGGCTGATCTGGGGGCGGCGGGGGCACAGCCGCCGGCATCCGGATCTTTAGAGATTCCCAAGGCCGGACTCCCAGGCGCAGCCAATGGCATAAGCTCCAGCAGACAGAGATGCAGAGTCTCAGGACGGGGAATACGTGGCTGGACAGCCCGTGAGGGAGGGAGACGGAGGCTACAGGCTCCCCAACGCTGCCCCCTGCTCAGAACCGCCGGGCCACCCGAGGGAGGGCGGCCGACAGCCTGCGAGCGTGGAAGGACCTGCCACGTGAGGGAGGAACTCGTGTCTGCTCCAGCGGGTGGAGCAGACAGACCGGGGCTGCAGGCACGGTGTGGACGGGCTTCAATCAGCCGCTTCCCAACCGGCCAATGGGGAGAGATTACTCCAGGCTCCAAGTCACCTGGCTCATCAGCGGCCAGGCCGAGTGAAGCCAGGGATCCCTAAGCCGTGGCTCTTCCTGCCCTGTCGTGCTGCCTCCCAAAGTCTATCCAGGTCACGTGTTTGGAGGCGGAAGTGCCTCCCCAGCCCGTCACTGAGGATGTTCAGAAACAAGGCAGCACCAGGCATGCTGCCAGCATGGGGAATCAGCACAGGGTGGGGCTGGACAAGCCGCCTCCCAGGCCTCTCCCAGCCCAGAGAGGGAAGCTGCTGTGCTCCCTCCGGGGTCCCGCCTCCCCTCGCCCACGCTGCCTGAGTTCCTGCCACTCTGCGAGCCACGGGTGAGGCCACACCTGCAAGTCCTGTGCGAAGCACAGGAAGCCATCCGGACGCAGCCGGCCAGGATGCTGGTCGGCCGCAGCGGCGCGCCCTCACCGACACCTCCCGTTTCCCTCTTCTCATTTCCTCCCAGCAGTTTACACTCAAATCCGCAGCAGCTTCTGTGGGCACGAACACTTGGGCTGGTGACAAATGCATTGATTTCCACTTTGAGCTCTGGGTAGCTTCTGCCCTGAGCAATCTGGCCACCCTCCAGCTCGAGTGAGGGGTCCCGGGGCACAGCCTGATCCCATCCCTTTCCAAGCAGACCGTGGTACTTTCCCACATGCAGCCCCAACCCCTGGGAGATCCTGCTCGGCTGGCTCGAGGAGCGAGGCCAGCGGCCAGGACAGCCGTGTCTGCTTACAGAGCTGCCGGCTCCCGAGTCTTTTGAGTCTTTTGTGCTGAGAGGACAGCCTCCCACTGACACCCAGAACCATTCTCTCTGACTTATAAGATAGCAGCGACGTCGGGAGGCTTGGAGTTGGAACAAGACAGAGGGAAGGGAAACGTCATGGGAAGCAACCTATTTTTGAAAACTGTGAGCTGACGGCAGGAGATCAGGTTCTGTTTGTCTTGGCTAATGGGCTTGTTTAAACACACACGCACGGGCAGAAGTGTGTGCTGTCTGGTTGGCCCTGGCTGTCCAGGGCTGGCTTTGTTCTGTTGCGCCTGCTACCAGGAACTCAGCTCTGTCCACTGCAAACCCCTGTCAGCAAGAATTCTGGTGCTGACACAGCACAGAGCTGCCTCAAGAGGCCCCTCAGTTCCTGCACTGTTCCTGGACTGATCTCAGTTTCCTGAGCCTTGGGTAACGCCTGGAAGAACCCCGCAGACCGCAGATGGAGGCTGACGCGGCACTGATGGCACGCCTGAAGCTGGGCTGCTGCGGACACTGGTCGCTCGGCGTCCAGAGCAGCCGGAGGGCCCAGGGCCCAGGTAGGTAGGCTGCCCGCTGTGAGATCCTCCAGAGCGGGGACCACAGCCCACACCCTGGGCAGGTCTCCCCCACCCACACCCTCACCCCCTTAGGGGCTGGAAGGGGGCACGGCAAGAAGCTGCTTGGGACCAGGCCACCCGGGAAGCATGCCCTCGTGGAGGACAGCAGCCAGTGTGGCCCTCAGGGGACCAAGACCGGCTGCCCCGAGGGGCAGGCGTGGGAGGTGCTCCCCGACGGCCCTCACATTTCACAGCGTCCTCTCCACCCTCTGGGAGGTGCTGCTTCTGCGGGCGGGGCCGCTGCCACTTCCCACCGATGCCAGAGTCTCCGAGACGGTGTCAGGAGAGCTGGGCGCCAGCTCTGGGCCTGGCGGACCTGGGGTAGGAACCCTGCAGCCCAGCTCTGCTCCTGGACCCCTTTCCGCCTGGCTCCCAGACCTGCAGGTGGCCAGTGAGCCACAGAGCCTCCGGAGCCAGGACGTGGGCCACCCTGGCCGGGGACCCTCAGCTTCACCCCAGAAGTCTCAGAAGTGGCTCCCGCGAGCAGGAACAGCTAGCGGTCCCTGCACGTTTGTGATGTCATGTTGGGTGAACAAAGCGACACATAAAATCATATACCTGATATCATCTCAACCCCACCTGAAATAAACATGGAAAAAATGTCTGAAAGGAAATACATCAGAACACCGACAGTGCTTATCTGCGGACACTGGGGTTAAAGAAAACGATTTTCGTCTTTGTACTTCCCTTTTCTTTCGACGGGCACGTATTTTGCAACTGGCATTTTACAATGAGAAAAAAACGTTTTTAAGGAGGATAAAGAAGAGAGCACCTGGGACTGGCCTCTGACCGCCTCCGGGATGCGTGGGCTGGACGCGGGCCTCCTCGGACTCGGTCCCTCTAGAGGACGGGCGCCGAACCCCATCCCGCCCACCCCCCGGCCCGGAGGCCCTCACCTGCAGCAGCTCCAGATCAGACGAGTCCTCCTGCCCGGGAACCATCTCCGTTAGCATCTCGGACATGACCTTTGTGTTTCCCCGAACGACGTCCAGTTCGCTCCGCAGCCTGGCGATCTGTGGGGGCCGGGGGAGGCGTGGGGACGGGGTCAGTGAGCCTGCACCAGGTGGACGCGGGCCAGCTCCGTCTGCGTCTGCGCACGGGGGGCGCCGGCAACTGGCAGCTGGGAGCCCCGGGAAGCGCGGGCAGCGCTGGGTCGGAGCGCGGGGGGAGGGGGCCGAGCGGGGCCTGCAGGGGAAGTGAGCCTCTCAGGCCCCGTTTCTGCTCCTTCACGTGGTGGAGAGCGTGGCCCCCAAGGTCCCTGCAGGTCTGGGGTCCTCGACTAGGAACCTCACAGTTGCAGGCTCTGGCCCGGAATTGAGGCTCCGAGCGCAGCGGCCTCTGAGCCGTGCCTTCCCCACCGGCTCCCCATCCAGGGTGCACCCCGCACTGCCCAGTCGGGTCTGCTCTCCCTCTTCGCCGCATTCAGCCCCCTCTCGTCCTGCCCACGCCCCCTCGCCCATCCCAGACCCTCCTTCCGACCGCTCCCGAGCTCCCCCCGGGCGCAGACGGCCAACCAGGGGAGGGTCTCGGTGGCCATCCAACTGCAAACGCGTCCGCCTTCCCTCCTCCCAGGGCCACCTGGGAAGCCTGGTGCCGGCTGTGGCGGGGGCCCAGGATGGGCAGCGGTAGTTTCAGCGGTGGCCTCCACCTCCTCCCTGCCCCGGGGATCCCAGGGGCCTTCCTGCCACTGCCCACCCGGCCCATGACGCCCGGCGGGCAGGAGAGAAGGACCGCCGCCCGGTCTACTGACAGGAGACCGAGGTTAAGCGACCCGGCTGAGGCCTCACCAGGAGCAGCGGGCTGAGCCCAGGCCTGTCCGATCCCAGCCCACCACCTGCCCGACCACCCCCTCCTCGGGGCCCACAGAGCGGAAACGTGCACACACTCTGCTAACTGGACACAATCGCTTGAGCCCTCTGTTTAAATGAGGTTCCATGATAATGAAACTGTCACAAATAGTAAATGAGAATTTAAAAAACAGAAACAGTGGATAGATTTTCTTTCAAGTCTGACCAATCCTCACTTTTTAACTAATGGAAGTTCTATAGATTCGTCTAAACACTCGTCTCCAGACTCCTCCGAAAGAATCCAGGTTGGCACTGAGGCAGCATTAGCTCCGCAGAGAGTAACTCGGGGAGACTGGGCGTTGCTCGGGACACATCAGGACTTGGTCCTTCCTGCAGGCTCTGCCCTGGCCCGGGCTGCCTTCTCTCAGGATAAGTCTAAACCTCTCTGTGGGGGCTTCCCTGGTGGCGCAGTGGTTGAGAGTCCGCCTGCCGATGCAGGGGACACGGGTTCGTGCCCCGGTCCGGGAAGATCCCACATGCCGCGGGGCGGCTGGGCCCATGAGCCATGGCCGCTGAGCCTGCGCGTCCGGAGCCTGTGCTCCGCAACGGGAGAGGCCACAGCAGTGAGAGGCCCGCGTACCACAAAAAAAAAAAAAAAAAGTTTAAAACCTCTCTATGGATACCCGAGGCCCTTCACAACTCCGCTCGCTCGGGGCTTTTGGCCTCACCTCCTGCTGTGATTCTTGCCAGCCCCGCCCCCGCCCCGCCCGGTCCTCCAAACCGCCCACCTGCTGTGCCCTGGGCCCCCCACCTCCCACCTTGAGTGACCACCGCCCTGGACAGCGTGCCCTCAGGAGGGCCGGGCACTTGCACCCGTGTCGCCAACACCCTTCACAGGGCCCGTCTGGGGACGCCTCCTCTGTCTCCTGGGAGACTGAGGGCAGCGGCAGGCTCGCCTGTGGCCCCTAAACGTGCACGTACCTGCTCTGAATTGGCCGTGATGGGGTCCGCAGCGCTCAGAGCCGGGACCTGCAGCACCAAGGAGGAGCCGCTGCTCGTCCTTGGCTGCGACTGGGACTTGGGCATGCTGGTGGCTGGGTCCACCTCCGGGACACTCTGCACGGCAACGACAAAGCCTTCTGTCCGCCTGGGCCACCTGGGCAGTGGCCTGGCACTGCCCCCGCCCCCTCACCTCTCCCTCCACGAACCTCACAGACACCGAGGCGGGCCACAGAGGCAGCCCCTAGCGCAGCCCGTGAGGGCTCTGGCCACCGTCCCACCGTCAGGACCACCTCGGGATCGGAGGGGAGGGCCTGCTGGTAAGTTTTCTAATCAGGAACCCCCATTTGGCACCAGAAGGTTACTTTTTGGCCTTTACAAGTGGACTAATAGAAACAGTAATTATGCAATTTACTGAACGTTCTCTGTAACTACAGGAACCGCCACGCTGCTCTGCGTCACGATTCGAAGAATAAAACAGGTTTGTTTACTCCACAAAGTGCAGCAAGTGGCTTGGAGGGATCACGTGAGAGAAACGCTAGGAAAGCCCAAGTCCTCGTGCTTCCCTCTGGGCCCCTCATGACCCCTTGAATGTGAGCTGTGCCCACGCGGGAGGCCTGCACGGCACTGTCCCTCAGAGATGGACAAACGGGGCCGTGGCAGAGGGAGCTGGGGTGGGTGCCTCTCCCAGATCCTGAGCCTCCGGCTCTCCCAGGGCTGAAGAGGGCCTGGCTGCCCCCGAAAAGGATGGCGTTGCCTGCGTACCTTCCCTCCTGAAGCTGCCAGCATGTGGGAGCTGCCCTCAGCGGGCCCTCCCGGGGCTTTACATCCCAAGGCTGACGGGAGTCAAGGGTGACCACTCATAGCCCAAAGTAAATTTTAGATCCATTTGACTTGTCCAGTTCAAAAACCCATGAACAGAGACCTCGCCAGCCCCTCGGCATTGCCGATGTGGAGGTGGGGCTCCTCCGGCCACCCTGGGAGATGTGGTCCCCACACCAGACGCCTGGGCTCGGGAGAGCAGATGCCGTGACCCTCCCAGGACGGCTCCACTCTAGCGGCCATCTCCATGACAGCGTCCACACTGCTCCTTTGTCACCTTCTCCCACAGTTGGGGTGAAAACCGGGGCGGGGGGCGGTCCCTGAGCCACCAGCCACCAGCTGTCTCTCTCCCGCACCCGCTCGTTATCAACAAGAAACGCCCTGGAGCCCTAAGGAGGCTGATGACAAGCTGAATAATTCAGAGGCTGTCTCTGCAACAGGCCCTTGGGGACGCGGCCGCTGAGGCTCACCCGCTGGGGTGTGTGTATGGGGGACAGCGCGTCCAGGTCGGCCATGGGGAACTCCACGCCCTTCCTCTTCAGCTCTTCGTACGCGTGCACGACGCCCGTGAGGTCAGGGCTGCTCCGGAAGGCGTCGGCCCACGCCTGGAGGGGAGGAGGGGGCCTGTTAGGGGCGATGGGGCGCTCGGGGCTGCGGCCCAGCCACGCTGCTCCTTCCTGCCAGTGCCACCAGGCTGAGCACGAATGAAAGCAAAGCACAGAACTCAGTCCAGCGTGGGGCACATCCTAGAGCGGAGACGGAGCGACCGCACCGAAGCATGGGGCTGAGCCCAGGAGATGTGCCTGGCAACGTGCGGCCTGAGAGGCCGCGCCCGCAGGATGCGCGGGGACAGCGGCGTGGCCTCCACGCTCTGCGCATGGAAGTCCAGGCTGACCCTAGTAGGTCAGGGAGCCGGAGTCCACACTGCCTGGCCGCCCATCTGACGGACGAGGTGACTGCGGCCGGGGCAGGTGCACCCGCGCTACTCACAGCGCCAGCACCAGGCACCCGTGTGGGACAGTCCGCTGGGAAGCTCGGCCACTAGCTTCCGTTATGTAAGACACAACACAGGGGGGAAGAAACACATATTTCAATAGGCTGCCACTCGTCTCTGATTCAATGAACTGTCAAAATTTATCTTTAAATTCTGTTCTTTGGAAGTTATAGAAGGTATCAAAAAAGGAAGTGCCTCCAAAGGGCAGCCCCCAAAAGGGGCCCAGAGGAGGAGGAAAACCGTCCTGTCGGCAGCTCTGTCGCTGTCACAGGGCCCAGCTGCTTCCCCCCATCCCTGACCAAGAGGGCAGTTTCCAAAAAGCCTCGTTCAGTTCGGCTGCTGCATCTCACTGACCACAAACCCTGCCGTGAGCCCGGCCTCCTGGGGCCTGCTCATCCAACCTGCACACGCAGGGACGTAACGCCCACGTCAGGACAGCCCCTCGTGGTCACACTTCCTCCTGGACGCTGGTGGGGGGCGCGTTTCACTGCCCACGGGGAGGCAGGGAGAAGCAGGCGGCAGTCAGCTCCTCCTGGAGCCGCCTCCGGCCTTCGTTGCTGCAGGAAGACAAGAGCTCCAGGGGAGCCCTTTTAACTTATGCTGCCTTCCACCCCCAGCAGGTCTGACATAAGAAGACCACGACTGTTCTCTCCAGTCGGCGGACGCTTCTTGGGGCACCTGTCCAGCAGCGATCAGCAGGCCCCATGGACGGCCCCGCAGCAGGTACACGTGCCCAGCTGAGCAGCTACGCCCTCCTGCTTCAGGAGCCTGGCTCTGGGCCCTCGGAGGGCTGGGCTGCTCTGTGGGTAGATGTGGGCCCTGGGTCGCACCCACATGCCAGCCCGGACCAGGGAGCAGGGAGAGCCTGCCTGCTGGGACGGCGCGGACACTCAGGAGAAGGTCTGTCCCCTCCCTGGCCGTCACCCCGGGGTTCTGGGGAGCCTGCCTTGTCATGACCAGCACTGCTCTTTGCCTAGGCAGCTGGGGTTGGCATCTGCTATTTAAGCAACCAAGCAGTCCTGGCTAATTGCCCCCGTCTTGCGCGGGACCCCTGTACAGTCTGGGTGCGGGGCTGCCAGCAGAGTCTGTGTCCACGGCAGTCCTCTCTACTGACCACGCCCCTGACGCTGGCACCTTGGGGGGAAGCACAGGGCGGGAGATGCCGTGTGCCTCGGGCACCTTCCGGGCCGGTGCCCACACCTGTGCCCCCCAGCCACCGAGTCTCCCGGGGGCACAGAGAAGGCAGTCAGACAGCATTTGTCAAGTCAGAGAGAACATGGCCTCACCAATGTGAAGATTCCTG